CCCCCACCCCCGTCTCAACTGCTCACTCCAAGACCCCTGTCTGTCAGCTGAAGGTGGCCCAGGGGCTTAGCTGGAAAAGATAAACTGGACGAACCAGATGATTTACTAGGGAATTGGGATTGGAGAACCAAGGGACTGAAGTGGTTGGCAAGAACCAAAGGTGGACGTGCCTCAAAACGGCACGCAAGCCACGGAAGCCAAAAACACACGTAAACCAAAGTGTGTGGGAGCCAAACAGACAACACTAGAGGCGGGGAGACCTGGGGGAGAAGCAGGCACCCAGGAGAGAAAGGTGCAGGCTGCCTTATTTCTGCCTCCCTGGGCTCCCGTCTTTGGGGTCTCATCCTTCGCTAGGCCAGGAGGCTGCTTCTCACTTCCACCATGCAGGTGGAGGCCAGAGGGGGCGCTGGGCTAGAGCCAGCCTGGGCTCCTGACGGGAGGACCCGCAGCCCACGGGCCTACCTAGCTGCGTGGGGAGGAGAGAGGTACAGGGCCATGCCCACCAAGGGCTGCACCACATCCGCTCAGACCTGCCCGGTGCATCGGCCACACTCGCACCAGTTGGGTGCAGCTGAGGGATGCCCCAGGGTACTTTCCAGAAGCGTGCGTCTCCATGCTCTGCATGTGGACAAGCTACGTGGCTCTCTGGGTGGCCCTGCTTCTTCAGAACAAGTGGCTGGTTTTGATCCTGCGGACGCTATGAAACTCATAACCTATTCCTCTCTTGGTACTGGCTCTCAAGAAGTACGGGGTCAAGTGCACAGGCCCTTCGAGCACAGATTTCCAGTACTGAACCCATCCCCGGCTTCATCCCACCTTTTCTTGTTCTCTCTTTGGCTCACTTTCCTCACTTGCGTGTTTCTACCATGAAGTCTTGTGTGTGCTTGTGTGCTGTATTAAACTATTTTGGGGAACAAAGGTACGAATAAACACACACCTGCCCCTGACTTGTAACCACCTGTTGCCTACGTTATAGCCTGCCATCAGACGCTCAATAAATGGGAACCCCCAGAGCTGGAAAACCAGGGTCAGGTGGGGGTCCTCTTGTTTAAACCTATTGCTTTAAGGTCACCTAGAAACACAGCTTGGCACTGTGCCCTCTTTTGGGAGGGTACCTAACAGAAATGACACAGGACCACCATGAATTTCAGTTTCTTGTTCCTCTTAAGAGCATTCCCCTAAAAGTCCCTCAAAAACAGAATCCTTTTCTGGACTTTTACCTCTCTGCCCCAACCGCCACATCCCTCACTCAGAGCAAGAATCTGTCATTGCTGAACTAGGGCCTCATGATCCTGAAGTTGTGGCCCCTGGGAAAGGCCCCCAGTCCCGCCTTCGAAGTCACCAAGTTCTGGCAGTGACTGTGTAGACTACCTTTCCCCCAAAATGGGGCTGTTTCTTATTTTTAATCTTATATTCAATGCTCTGAATCAAACTGATGTGCACTGGTCTCCCCCTTGGTCTTCTATGGGTCTCCTAGCTCAGCCTTGGGTCCTTCTTGGTTCTTTGTCTCCACCCCACACCCCTCCCCCCAACCAGCCCCAGTTATAGGCTGAGGATTCAGATGCTTTGCTCCCTAAATCCTCAGCCGGCCCCAAAGGAGATATCTGACTACCTTGCTCCCCCTAGGTGGCTGTCCATTTTCTACTCTCCGTCCTCTCTGAGTAAGAGACCTGCCATAGTCCTATTTCCAAGGGAGAAGGAGGAGTGAACCTCACAACCCATTGTCTATACTTGGACAACCTGCCAGATCCAAACCTCCCTCCCCAGGCCTGTGTGAAGAATGATCAAGTATGAGTGAGGAGGTGAGATCCCACCACTGCAGCCCACAGGGCACAGGGAACATCAGGCAGAAAGTTCCATTTAGGGCAGAGGTGGAAAGAAGCACCCAGTCTACAGCTCACTTCCCCGACCCCGAGGCCGACCTCCCCTGACCTTCCCTCCCTACCAGGACCTGGTCTATTTGTGCTTAGCTGGCTCCCCTCCCCACACCTCTGCTCCAGTCCTCACTCCTCACTGGGCTACTATTTATGGGTGGGTAGATAGGGCGCCTGGGTGGCTCAGTCGGTTAAGCATTTGACTCTTGACTTCGGTTTGTGAGTTCAAGCCCCACATCAGGCTCTGTGCTGGCAATGTGAAGCCTGCTAGGGATTCTGTCTCCCTCTCTCTCGGCCAGCCTCAAGAGCATGGCCCTGTGGGCATGAGAGTATTTTGCCTGGATGACATCAACTCTCCTACTCCCATTAGTGAACTCACTTGATAAGAAACGTTCAAATGTCAATAACTGGCCTGGGAAATGCTAGCAGCAGCCAGTGGAAAGGCTCCTCCATGGGGGAGCATCCCCCATGCTCCTCTTGGCAAATATGTACAGAATTCTATATAAATATGTATATGAATTAAGGAGCCATACAGGTAAACGTTCATGACTCTGCTAGATGTAAATGATCATTGGATTTGCCTTCCCAGAAGAAACCAGACATTCTTCAATGGGTTTGAGGGGGGAAAAAAATCAGAAAAGCTGTAGCAGCTTTCCAGAGACCAAAGAGAGAAGAGAGCAGATTTTTGGGGCCTGAGGGAGGTGGGGTGGAGACTGGGAAATGGAGGGAGGAAACAGACAGACTGAGAGATCAAGCATTTGATGGGGGAAGAGGTATGCACTTTGACTAGGCCATGACTCTGAATCAATTAAATTCACCCTGGTTACACCCCACCCCTCACTCTCTATTTCAGAACATTTACCCCACTGTGTGATGGCGTGTGGTTTACTCACATGGTTCTCATCTGCCTCCCGTTTCCAGAATGTAAGCACCTAGAAGGCAGGTTCTTTGTGATTCTGTTCACCTGTCTCAGTATGGAAATGCTGAAGGACAGAATCCTGCTAGTGTGTGTGTTATGCCCAACTACAAAATTCAGGGCGGAGGGCATGTCCTTATACTTTGGTTCAAGTGGATTAGTTAAAGGTTAGTGTTGACTCAAGAAGTTCAGGACCACCCGTGGGACACCTGGGGTTACAGAGTCCAGTGGGAGGTGTTCCCAGTTCTAGGCTGGCAGTACCAAATGGGCGGCATGCAACTTCAGGGTAGAGTTGCCACATTTAGCAAATAAGCATACAGGATGCTCGATATTTGGGACACACTTATACTAAAAATTTACGCTCTAAAAATTCACGCTCTAAAAATTCAAATTAACTGGGCATTCTGTATTTTATCTGGCAACCCAACCTCATGGGGGAGGCAAAAAGAACGTACCAAGCCCTTGCAACGTGCCAGTTATCCAGTTTGGTGCTTTACAGGCTCATCTGTCTTGCCAGCCACCCCAAGAATAAGACAAATGGTAACATTTCCCCCCTACTTATAAGGCTGAGTGAAGGCTCAGACAGTGTCAGAAATGTGCCCAGGTAACTCAGCTGGTAAGTGGGGGAACTGGGGTCCAATCCCAGGTCTGTGGCTCTCTTAAGTATCATTCTCTCTTCCCACCCATAAATCTTTTTTTTTAAGTTTTTAAATTTTTATTTTATTTAGAGAGAGAGAGAGAGAGAGAGAGCAAGCAGGGGAGGGGCCGAGAGAGAGGGAGACAGAATCCCTAGCAGGCTCCACATTGCCAGCACAGAGCCTGATGTGGGGCTTGAACTCACAAACCGAAGTCAAGAGTCAGATGCTTAACCGACTGAGCCACCCAGGCACCCTATCTACCCACCCATAAATCTATTTCCCTTGGGTCTTCATGCATTGAATGAAGTATGAATTACTTGTGAAGCAGAGTCTCTTGAATTCATCTGTTTTCCCACTGTTTGGTGCAGTACCTGCTTGACTCAGAAGTGGTACTCCAGAAATGTTTGTGGAAATGAGAGGAAAGATGGATGGATGGATGGGATGGATGGATGGATAAATGAAAGATGGATGGATGGATGGATGGATGGATGGATGGATGGATGATGGACAGATGATGGATGGATGGATGGAAGGGAGGAACAGATGGATGATGGATGGATAGATGATGGACAGATGGATGGATGGATGGATGGATGGATGGATGGATGGATGATGGATGAATGGATGAGTGGGTGGGAGAGACAGATCCTCAGGAAGCCCCTCCTCAACAACCTTACCAAAGGACGGGAGACACTGAGGCTTGGAGGATATGTAGCATCATTTTGACCTCACAACTTCCCTCTGCCCATGAGCCAATCATATCTTCCCTTCTCCCAGGAAGCCCAGTGCCCTGGGGCAGAGCTTTCCCAGAGGTAGGGTCCTGGCTTGCAGGCAGCAAGTCAACAGAGAGGACCTGAGGAAGACAAGTTTAAGCACCTTGTTGGTACTCCACCTGTGCAAGCCACGTCACTGAGAGTTTAAGAAGGTCCTTCTTCCCCTGACCCCTTTCTTCCTTTCTCTTTCTCTTTCTCTTCCCCATCTCCTCCCTCTCTTTCTCTCCTCCTTTTTTTGAACTGCTCCTCCCTGAATGAAGGGGTAGGATGACCTCAGGGGTGAGGTCACTTCCCATGGCCATCAAGGAGTCCTGCCAATCACCTGGGTGAGGGCAGCCTGACATGGCAAGGGTCAAGAATGGAGCAAGGGCCTGTTTCCCGGGGGTAGGATAGAACCTCTTAGGCAGAGGTGGGCCAGGAACTGG